GCCGAAACGTTGTAATAAATATGGCGACAAAGAGGGGGGCAATAGTCTGAATAATGTAAATGGTGTACATATTACCGCATCTCAGAAATATAGAGAGAAACTGTAAAACAAATTCTGACATTTAAATAAACTGTACCAAATTTCCGTTTTTTTTGTGGGCTACCCTGTATATTTGGACAGCAGTTTTGGGGTTTTTTTATACATGTTTCATAGAATGTGATGGACAAGAAAGTTTATTTTTCTAGTTTTTGTGCTGTTTTTATTTTCATAATAAGATGGAAGTATAGACACTCCTTACATACAACACATCTTAAAAACACAAACAAATATACTAAGGTTGGTGCGTAAGAATATCGTTTTTTGACGTTAAAAAATACGTCAAAAAACGACATTATTACGTCATTATTTTTGCACCAACCTAATATTTTCTTGTCTGGCACATTCAACTATATATATATATATATATATATATATATATATATATATATATATATATATATATATATATATATACTGGGCGCGTGGCCGAGTGGTTAGAACGTTCCTTTCTCACCATGGTCGATTTGTCAGGAAGGAAACTTCCAGATGTTTTTGGACTGGATCTAAGTCGATCCTAGCGTGCGGCACCGTTGAAAAGTACTTGAAAACGGTACCAGGGGTTTAACCAATCCTTGGGAGTGAAATTGCGTAGACGGAAGTCTTGAGTTTCGTCGATAGTTGTGCTATCACGGAGCCCCATTCATAGTGGCCGAGGGCTTGAGCGTGCCGGCCTTGTTGATCACGCTAGATAACACGTTCTCTCCCAGAAACCGTAATTAAGGTCTGCTCAGCATAGTTGCAGTGTAACCCACAGGTGTGCTCTGTGGGTGTTGAGCAAACACAAAATGTGCCTGAGCGAGCATTTCCAATAGGGATGGCTAGCTGCCCTACTAGACGGGTATTCTCGAATAGGAATGGCCAGATAATATAGTGTGACCCAAAAAAACGTGAACTTTTATCAATCCAATAAAACCAAGAATGATGGAAGAAAAATATTTTATTCATAGGAATTGAAACCTTAAACCATGCCATTTAAGAATGGTGTAATTTTCATTTTTAAAAATTACGTCCTGTAGATGGCGTCCTCCTGTACGAATGCATTCTTGAAATCTGCTGTTGAGATTCCTCATTGACTGCTGCAACATCTCAGCTGGGATACTGTGAATTTCATCTTGAATTCTAAATGGCGAAATGTTTACTTGCTCAATGTCACTGTCTCGCAGTGTTGCCACTGCACACATATCTGGCAATATACACTTAAAAAAATCCCATTTTTGGGTCACCCTAATAATATATATATATATATATATATATATATATATATATATATATATATATATATATACTCACTCACGCAAACACACCCAGAGCGCAATGGATAAATTGTCGTTTCAATTACCGAAGAATGAAAATAACACTGACATCTCATTTTCACAGACATATTTACATATTTAAATATTTAAATATTTACATGTTTATTCCACACATGGCATTTATGACCAACCAAAAAATCTTTTTTTGAATGTTTGTTTAAATTATTAAATTAAATTAATCAATTAAATTAATCAATTAAATTAATCAATTAAATTAATCAATTAAAAACTTAAAATGTTCACTCGTTAGTTGATAAACTACATTTTCTAATTTAAAAATTAATCAATTAAAAACTTAAAATGTTCACTCGTTAGTTGATAAACTACATTTTCTAATTTAAAAATTAATCAATTAAAAACTTAAAATGTTCACTCGTTAGTTGATAAACTACATTTTCTAATTGAATGTAAATATTTCGCAAATATATTTTGATTAAAGTAACAGTATTTTATAATTTGTTTAAACCTTTTGTAACTGGTCTTAGATTTTGACCATATATATATATATATATATATATATATATTGTATATATATATATATATATAATATATATAGATATACATATATATTATATATATATATGATATATATATATATATGATATACATATATATATATATATATATATATATATATATATATATATATATATATATATATATATATATATACATATATATATATATAATATATATAGATATATATATATATATATATATATAGATATACATATATATATATATATATATATACATATATATATAATATATATATAGATATACATATATATATATATATATATATATATATATATATATATATATATATATACATATATATATATAATAGATATACATATATATATATAGATAGATACATATATATAATATATATATATAGATATACATATATATATAATATATATATGAATATACACACATATATATATATATAATATATATGAATATACATATATATATATAATATATGATATACATATATATATATATATATATATATAGATATACATATATATATATATATATATATATAGATATACATATATATATATAATATATATATATAGATATATATATATATATATATATATATATATAGATATACATATATATATATAGATATACATATATATATATATATATATATAGATAGATATACATATATATATATATATATATATATATATATATATATATATATATATATATATATATATATATATAGATATATATATATATATATATATATATATATATATAGAATATACATATATAATATATATATACATATAAATATATATATATATATATAGATATAATATATATATATACATATATATATATATATATATAAATATATATATATATATATATATATATATATATATATATATATAGATATACATATATATATATTATAGAAGATATATATATATATATATATATATATATATATATATATATATATATATATATATATATATATATATATTAGTGGACATAGTATTTGAAAGGGCCACCAGATTTATACTTTTACATCGTTTATCGTTCTGCATATGCGAGAAATCATAGAAAAAAAAATGTGTTTTCCGTCAGTGACCAAACCTGCGCCCACTTTTGTAGAGAAACCATCTTTTCTTTCAACGTTCTTTACCACGTCGAAGGATGCAATTTCGATCGATGCTGGCACACACATTTGTTTATTAATATTTCTCGAATGCGCAAACCTATTGACGTAGTGGGCCTTGTTTAGTACGTGAAAATAGGGCATCTATTTCAAATGCAAAGTGTCTACTATAATAACATTTGAAATAATAAAAAAAAGAATTAGGATTAAAAATCAATCCATTAATCCTTTATATACACCCTTTCTGCGACTTAATGGAAAAAAAAGAATAATCCCAGCTTTATAGCCTTTTTTTTCGTATTTTTCCAATAAAACATGATCCAGTGCACACGTATGTGAATTTCACGAAGCCTTTCCGTGCCGATTGAACACAGATTCTCAATTGGATTTAAATCAGGAGAGTTTCCGAGCCAGTCTATAATATTTTGATTTGCTCACTGGTAAGAATTGTTACTGTGTTCTTTCAGCGTTACAATTTTCGTTCGCTTATTTGGAGTAACGTCAATCGCAGACAATAGCCATAGGACAACTAATCGACAGTTGCGACAATAATGTCTGGGCGTGGTAAAAGTTTGATGCAATCACAGATGACGTAATATTTCTCAAGGCTAAACAAATTTCAAAATACATATCAGTGCCCACCACTGCAAATGACCTAATCTGAGAAAAGAATAGAAATTGATTAAACCCTGTCACTCCTGTGGGTCTAAAACAGGCCCTATGTTGAAAGAAAGGAAACTAAAGCGGTTGTTTCAGTTAATTTGCACTAGGGTTTGTCTGTTGTCCAGCCATCTTGTGAGACCTAGCGGTTGAAACCATGGTAGTGTCCTGTAGTATACGATGATTTTACCTCTTTATTGCATTAGCACGCTGTTTTTTTGGATACCGTAATGTTTTGGGCCATTTAACATATATGTGTTAACACACACACACATACACAGACACACACACATATATATCTATATATATATATATATATATATATATATATATATATGCAGTACCCTTTTACTTTCGACATATATTATTTCCAAATAATATTAGACAATATGAACTGTCCGACTGGCCACACTGACAAGTTTTTAAACAGGTGAAATCTATTCAGAATTAGCACCCCCCCCACTGTGAAAAGTCATGATAGCGTAGGGCCTAAAACGATATGGGCTTTAATATATGTTTAGAAAACATATTGATTACAAACAATAATCTAATGTGTGAGGTATGAAGAATCGCCCCGCTGTGAAACGCTAATTTACTAAACATAACACATTTTTATATCAATAAGCATAGATTTCTAGCTGAAAGGTTGATTGCCAGATTACGGACAAAATAATATATGTTAGTAAATATATGATAAGTTGTAAATCTATTTTGTGACGCGTTTCGTTGCGAAATAATAGTCTTCAGTCAAGAGTTTCACTGACGGAATCGGTCCTGTATACACAATGAGTAAATACAATAAACGTCAATTGCAGTCTCCATGAAAATATCAAAGATACAGAGACGGTCATCATTTAAATATGAACTTTGACATCCCATGTATCCAAATTTTAAACGTGTTAGCAACTTTTTTTTTTTTAATAACTCTTATTTTTTTCGCTTTTTTTCTTCAGTTATCCTGTATTTTATGAGAAATATTTCAGTGAGGAAACAAGATATGGAATCAATTTCCTGTAGAGATTTTTGAATATGAAATTTCAATATATTTCCACCTTAATTAATGTATCACGTTTACTCATTAAGACAGTGTTAATATCGAAATTGTGATTAAGTCAGTTACAATGAACAAATAATGCACTAAATATTTTGTCAAAAACAAATCCTATGTTCATATCTACATTTATTTAAATTGTTTTACCAATGATCATCACAAACATAGATTTCGTTTTCTGCTGCCATGAAGTGGAAAGATCATATTGAATCAATTGGTAGATGAGCTGCTAAAAAAAATTCGTGTGATAGATAGATAGATAGATGTGAACAGACCGTGATAGAGAGATAGATGTGAACAGACCGTGATAGATAGATAGATATGAACAGACCGTGATAGATAGATAGATAGATAGATAGATGTGAACAAACCGTGTGTTATAGTGGAACACATCTATTCTATAGTTAATAAATGATCCCACCTATAACAAGTAGGAGTAGTAAGTGGGTCGCTCAGTGGGTCGGTCTGAGTACTGTCTGAAGTCGTACGACCGGCTGACCGGTTGAACTCTCCGCCTTCGGGCGGGGAGGAACCCGGACGAGGCTACGCCGAAGGGCGGAGTCTCTTTCGGGGAGGTAAACCGACCCTGAACCCGTCGGTCAGTCAGTCAGTCGCATCGACAGACTGACCGACCCACTGAGCGATATTCAGTCACCCCACCCACCCCACGAGGGCATCATGTGGCACAAGGCCGGTTTAACTTGGGATCTCCGAGCCCGTCGGCTTGGCCAAAAATATGCCCTTTTAAAACCCGTATAAACGGACGACCGTTAGTCGGATATTAAAATATCAGCGACCACAACTAGATTTCTCTGCGTCATTACCTATTATATCAAGTTCCTAACGTTTTGTACGTCGAACCTATTTTAGGACCGACTTAGTACAAATACAAGCCTCCACTGTGAAACCACTCCATAACACCGTGATAGATTGATAAAGTGAACAGTCTGTAATTGATAGATAGATGAATGTAAACAGACGGTGATAGATAGATAGATAGATAGATAGATAGATAGATAGATAGATAGATAGATAGATAGATGTGAACAGGTCGTGATAGATAGATAGAAATATGTGAACAGACTGTAATAGATAGATAGATAGATAGATAGATGGGAACAGACAGTAATTGATAGAGCGAGTGACATGTGAACAGACTGTGACAGATAGATAGATAGATAGATAGATAGATAGATAGATATGGCCAATTGTGATATGTAAATATCTATATCTACGAGCGTAGCCCTTCAACCAGTATTTGAGGATGGTAAACTCAAAATTATGGTAATTGTAATATTACCAGTTTCCTTATAAGGAAACATTCACTATTCACTGACCAAATTAATGAGGTATCCTGAAGTTGAAACAACCGTAACCATTGTCCTACCTACATTCATTTGCGATAGTTGCATAGAAAGTGTTTATTTCATGCGATGTTAAATTCTTCACTGTAATCAGAGACTTCTGAATCTTAATTCTTTCGGGGAATATTTCTCAATCCTTTTATATTTTTCCCGAGATTTTATCTTCTTTCGAATGGTTTCCCGTTACTTTCATAGATTTCCATTTTCCCTCTGTTCAAAATGTATTTCTATTATGGTACTGTTAATCTTAGTAAAGATGAATGCTATTGGAGAACTGACAAAATTTTGTTCCGTGAAAATGTTAACAAATTCACGTCATATTTACATTGTTTAATTGATGACTATTGTCCTCATTTTTGTTGTTATATTCCTCTACTATTACCGAAGTTAAGCAATGTTGAGCCTGGTCAGTACCCAGAATGATGACATCTTGTGAGCTTTTATGTGCGGGTGGTGTAATAATATCTCGGAATTATTAATCGGAGAGACGAGTTCCAATTTCAGTTGGGTCGCTTATATTCATTTACGCAAAAATGCACTTGTCAAAGGCAGGAATCAATCCTCTTCTCCCCAAGATGAGGGCTAATCAGTAAGACTTATTATTATCAGCCCTAATTTCAATTACAATCTAAAAATATTTTTTGGTTTTAAATAATTTGCAAATGGAAAACAAATAATAAAAAAAAAAAACATCAATTTGTTGTTATAATCATAACGTCTCGGCCTTTGTGACTTTCGGCCTTCAGCAGGTCATTGTTGATCCGGGTAACCCTTAAGGATCCACGAAATGAAGGCTTTATTTAATCTATGGGTTTAGATTGTTCTGGATCCGCTGATCATATCTAGGGTGACCAACACATGAGAAGTACTAGATAACATAGTGACTAGACATCTGTGTATATATATATATATATATATATATATATATATATATATATATATATATATATATATATATATGTGTGTGTGTGTGTGTGTGTGTGTGTGTATATATATATATATATATATATATATATATATATATATATTTACATATATTTCTATCTCTTATATTGAGATACTTTATCCCGTAAATATAGCACATCTTAAATTTATATTTATTATATATATATATATATATATATATATATGATCACTGAAAATATATTTTTGTTACTTAGCTGACTGGTGTTATATCTAGAGTTTCGTAGTTGGGCTATTGGGTAATTGCACGTTCCACTCGTCAGGAGATATCAGTAATTGTTTGTAAATTTTCTCGCTTTCCATATTTTTAAAATCGTTTAAAAATGATTCATGCATTTTTTATCGGTATGGGTGTTATCCTTGTTTTAGACCGAAAAGTTTTTATGATACTTTCCTTTAACGAGGTAAATGGTTCCGTATCTCCAAAGCTTTTTCAAACTTTTCTCCCTGTAATCAGCCCAGGAACGATGTGGGATTCCTAAATTTGCGACATATGTATTTCTCGGATAACCGTATGGCTTCAAATATTCTGATCATTGCACCACCACTTGTTTTATGAATTAAAAATCATTTTCAGTATTAGAATTTCACTTCTTTCTTTTTTTTTTTATAACAAAACCTTACATTAGATTATTGCTATGGAAACGGTTGTAATATTTAAAGAATGGTTTCGCTACAGATTGAAATCGTGAAGAGAAATGTATAAAAAAAAGTGGTAAGATGTGAGAAAAAATATTTACATTAGATAAAAAAAAAAAGAAATAAGTTTCCTACAGAAAGGTAGATTCGGGTTTTAATTTCGGTTAGGTATTGATCGCCTTCGGACAGCGGCTATGTTGGAATGAACAAAAAGCAGTAAGTGGAAGAAGGCGAAAATCAAAAGTGAGAAAAGATAGGAATAAGGCGAAAATCTGGAAATGAGAACAGTAAAGTCCATGGGTGGAACAGTAATAATACAGAAGGAAAAATACTTGAGAGATGAGACAAATAAAACGGCGAGAATTTCCCCGACGAGTGAAGACAATCAGAATTACCGAAGAACAAGAATTATTCAAAAATAAATTGAAATCAGCACTGGAAAAATTAAACAAGAACCAAGCAGCAGGACAAGATGAAATGCTAATAAAGATGTCAGTTGCTTTAAATGATTTCCGCATTGATAAAATGACATAATAGACGTAATATATAACAGTGGTAAAATACGGAAAGTCCTAAGCAGGTACATTTTCTAGAAATTCCTAAAAACAAAGATGCGAACTCCCTTGGTATAATGAGCCACATAAAATATATCATCTGAGTTAATAAAGATATCCTTAACTTTAAATGATTTCGCATTGATAAAATGACATAATAGACGTAATATATAACAGTGGTAAAATACGGAAAGTCCTAAGCAGGTACATTTTCTAGAAATTCCTAAAACAAGATGCGAACTCCCCTTGGTATAATGAGCCACATAAAATATATCATCTGAGTTAATAAAGATATCCTTAGCTTTAAATGATTTCCGCATTGATAAAATGACATAATAGACGTAATATATAACAGTGGTAAAATACGGAAAGTCCTAAGCAGGTACATTTTTCTAGAAATTCCTAAAAACAAGATGCGAACTCCCTTGGTATAATGAGCCACATAAAATATATCATCTGAGTTAATAAAGATATCCTTAGCTTTAAATGATTTCCGCATTGATAAAATGACATAATAGACGTAATATATAACAGTGGTAAAATACGGAAAGTCCTAAGCAGGTACATTTTTCTAGAAATTCCTAAAACAAAGATGCGAACTCCCTTGGTATAATGAGCCACATAAAAATATATCATCTGAGTTAATAAAGATATCCTTAGCTTTAAATGATTTCCGCATTGATAAAATGACATAATAGACGTAATATATAACAGTGGTAAAATACGGAAAGTCCTAAGCAGGTACATTTTCTAGAAATTCCTAAAAACAAGATGCGAACTCCTTAGTATAATGAGCCACATAAAATATATCATCTGAGTTAATAAAAAGATATCCTTAGCTTTAAATGATTTCCGCATTGATAAAATGACATAATAGACGTAATATATAACAGTGGTAAAATACGGAAAGTCCTAAGCAGGTACATTTTCTAGAAATTCCTAAAAACAAGATACGAACTCCTTGGTATAATGAGCCACATAAAATATATCATCTGAGTTAATAAAGATATCCTTAGCTTTAAATGATTTCCGCATTGATAAAATGACATAATAGACGTAATATATAACAGTGGTAAAATACGGAAAGTCCTAATAGGTACATTTTTCTAGAAATTCCTAAAAATAAGATGCGAACTCGATTGGACAATCAGCTTAATTAGCCACGTAACAAGACTTATCATGGTGATTAGAGCGTGCAGCAGAATTAAACACGAAAAGGGACAAGAACAGCGTGGTTTCTTTAATGGCTTAGAGACAATGAATGCTTATTTATGCTCAGAGTGATATCAGAAAGACTAACACAAATGTCAAAGTATGTATACCAATGTTTTATAGATTATGCAAAAGCGTTTTGATTAAATACCTGTAACGCAGGATCAATTCAACCTGTCAAGAGACCCAGAGTTGGTTGCGTGTGGCGCAATAAGAACAAGGAGTTACGTCCTTTTCTATAATTGGCTGTTGAGAGAGGACATTCTAACTACCTGTATAATTTGCATAACAAGAATACTGGGCAGATATTAGCCAATAGTCAGCGTGGGTCTGGGACTGAAAGTGCTATATAATACCAGCTTCTTCTCAGTCGTGAGCAGCGCTGTGGACTGTTAGACATTTTCATGACGGTCGTCCTCGAGTATAGAATCCAGAGGTTGGCAGTGAATATTTCGGAGACAGTAGGAAAGCGTAGTGCAGGTTCGCAGTGGATATCGCAGCAAAGTAGCAGAGCGTAGTTCTTCCGTCTGTCATGTTCGCCTGACATGTTGGCTCTGGTCATTCCGGTAGGGTAAACAAAGATGGCTGCCTTTATACACGACGGATACAGTGTTCTGTGGCTTTTGATTGGTTAATCTTCTATTGGTAGACTATAAATGGAATTAAGTCATTTTGACTCGCTCACTAGTTATGTACATATATACACAAAAAACTGTAACACGGACGACAAGACAAGATGAAACAAGACAATATTTGTCTATATTTCTGAGATGAGGTATTGTAATTATTTATCTTGTTCCGAATGTCGTCCTCATCTTTGTTGCCATATTTACGTTTCGGCCTGTGTACGCTCCGGACATCTTCAGGTGATTGGAATTGCGAACTGAACCATTTACGTCAACCGGGGTAGATTTTTCTACTTCCACGTGCCCTACCTCTTGCAGAGATCTCAGTTATCTCCCTTTAATTCAACTCTCCAAGTTTTTGTTCCTCCCTGTCGTAACCTGGAACTGAACTCACAACTATTGGGGTCAAGTCCTCAAGGATACATGGCGCAGTGGATAAAAAACATTGGTTGGATCCAGTGACTTGACCCAAAGAGTTGTGAATTCAATACCTGCCTACTGCAGTGGTGAACAAAAACTTGGGTGTTGAGTTAAAGGGAGATAATTGAGACGACCGAAAGAGGTATGGCACGTGAAACTAGAACAATCTACCCCGGTGGACGAAATAAAATACTCAATTCGAAATTCCAATCACCTGAAGAAAGCCGGAAACGTCGTGAACATCGCAATAAAGATGGGGAAAACAGTTCGAACAAATAAGACAGTATGTCACAATGAACTGTTTCAAATGAAGGTTAATCTTGTCTTACTGGAGAAGGATATTAGAATAATCCAGAACGTTTACTGGTACGAAACCGTCTGTATAATGACAAAAAAATGAACTGAGACAATACATTTAAATAGAAAAGAGCGTAAGACAATGATGTGTCTTCTCGCCGGACTTATTCAAACATTATAATGAGTAATCTGGAGATACCAAAAAGTCCTACCAAAAGTTACTGGCGTCTTAAGAACATCAGATATGCAGATAACACATGTGATAGCAGACACTGAAAAGAAACTACAAGAATTCCTACAGACGGTAGTGTTGGAATCCGAAAAGAAAGGATTAAACATCAATTGTAAGAAAAGAGAATGAATGGTTGCTAGCAAAAAGGACACCCAATATATGAATTACAAATTGGAGACAGCAAAATCATGCAAATACAAACATGTAAATATGTCGTTAGTGTTGTAACAGGCAAATATACCTTCCAAAATCTAAGCAAGTAAAGAGAAACAGGAAAATTCCATTAAAAAACAAAGCAAAGATTACTGAATTTTTATCTATCTTCTTCTATAGGTCAATGAATGCTGGAAAATCTCATCCCAGAACAAACTTGAGGCAACATAAATGTGTTCCCACAGAAGGATGTTTAGAATACTATGGGTCGAAAATGTGAACAATATCTAAGATTTAGGAAAAAAAAAAAAAAAAACGGGAACAAAAACAACGCGTATATTTCACAGCAGAAAGAGGTAGTTCAAATATCTTGGGCCCGTAATGAAAAAAGAAGGCTTAGGAAGTTTGACACTCATAGGGCATATAAAATACAAGCGGGACAGGGGTGAGCTGCGAATGAACTACGTAACTTGCTCTTGTCGATGGTTAGAGGAATATGGATTACGAGAAAGGGCAAAGAGATAAATTTTGCTAAGAAGTATAAAGTATTGTCAGTTATAGGAAGATATGGTTGTCCGCGTTCAGGAAGGACACGGCCCATAGAAGAAGAATATATCAAAATATGGGGGGGGGGGTAAAAGTAAAGTTACAAATAAAAAAGAAGGCAGTTTGAGAAAGGCCGTAAGAAATAATATTGATGTGAATATAAAAAAAAGAAGTATAGAGGTTGTAAAAGAAGAGGAGAAACAAGAACAAAATGAGAAAAAAGACAAAAAGAAAGAAAGAAAAAAGAAAGATTTTTTTCTTTCTTTTTTTCATTATTTTTTCTCAAGCAACAGAGTGGTGGCTAGAAAAACGATAGAAACACACAAATGAAAAATATAAAAGAAAGAAGGAAATTATAAAAAATGAAAAGAACGAAATTATGGAATTGAACAGAGAAAAAAACAAGCGAAAAAAACTAACAAAATGAACATCAGGACAGATAAAAAAAAAGAAAGAAAGTACGAAAGAAAGAAAGAAAGAAGAAAGAAAGGGAATTGTGACAAGAAAGACAGAAAATTGAAAGAAAGAAAGAAAAAGAAAAATAGAAAGAATGAATGAAAAAAGAAAAGCGAGAGAAAGGTAATATGGAAAATGAAAAGAAAGAAAAAATGAAGCAATAAATGGAAACATTCTAACAAACAAGAAAGAAAAAATGAAAGGAAAAACGACGAAAGAAAAGAATATGGAAAATAAAGAGTCAGAAAATGGAAAGAAAGAAAGAAGCAATCAAGGGAAAGAAATGAGAATATGGAAAATAAAAGGATAGGAAATGGAAAGAAATAATGAAACAAACAAGATAAAGTAACTAACAAGCAAAAAGAAAGGAAGAAAGATAGAAAGAGAAAGTCAACAGGATAAAGAAAGAGAAAAAAAAACAGAAACAAAAATGAATGAAGCAATCAAGGGATATGAACAAGAAAGAAAGAAAGAAAGAAAGAAAGAAAGAAAGAAAGAAAGAAAGAAAGAAAGAAAGAAAGCGGGAGAAAAAGATATGGAAAATAAAAAAAGCTAGGAAATGGAAATTCAGAATGAAGCAAGTAAACTGACTTTGTTAGTCAGTTTACTTTAATTGCTTCATTCTGGAGAAAGAAAGAAAGAAAGAAAGAAAGAAAGAAAGAAAGAAAGAAAGAAAGAAAGAAAGAAATCGAGAGAAAGAGAATATGGAAAATAAAAAGAAAGAATGAAGCAATCAAGGTAAACTGACTAACAAACAAGGAGAAAAGAAAGAAAGAAAGAAAGAAAGAAAGAAAGAAAGAAAGTAAGAAAGAAGGAAAGCGAGAGAAAGAGATATGGAAAATAAAAAAGCTAGGAAATGGAAAGAAAGAATGAAGCAATTAAAGTAAACTGACTAACAAACAAGGAGAAAAGAAAGAAAGAAAGAAAGAAAGAAAGAAAGAAAGAAATCGAGAGAAAGAGACTATGGAAAATAAAAAGAAAGAATGAAGCAACCACGGTAAACTGACTAACAAACAAGGAGAAAAGAAAGAAAGAAAGAAGGAAAGCGAGAGAAAGAGATATGGAAAATAAAAAAAGCTAGGAAATGGAAAGAAAGAATGAAGCAATTAAAGTAAAGTGACGATCAAACAAGGAGAAAAGAAAGAAAGAAAGAAAGAAAGAAAGAAAGAAAGAAAGAAAGAATAAAAGTCATTATGAAAAAGAAAGAGATAAATTTAGAAATAAAAAGAATGAATCAGCCAAGGAAGAAAAACCAGAAAGAAAGAATAAAGTAACCATGTGAAATTAACTATGAAACGGAAAAGAAAGAACGAAAATGATAAAAATAATACTAAAAATCCGACTGAAAGTGGACATATTTAAAAACATAAGTGAAGAAAATATATAAAAGTGAAGGTAAAAAAAAGAGAAGAGAAAAGCAAAAGTGAAAAGGACAGTAAGGAAAATTGTTGATGAGTTTAAAAAATGAGAAAGCGTAAAGAAGTGAAAGGAAATGGACAGTAAAACAGGACACACCCACACAAAGTGGAAGACACACAACCGGTAAATGGAAGAATAAAAAAAAGATATAATAATAATAATAATAATAATAATAATAATAATAATAATAATAATAATAAAAATGCAGAGACGAAAAAATTTAAAAATGCTAATCAAAGAAAACAGCGATAACGGAAGTGAGAAAAATATAAAGGTAACAGAAAAAAAAAGGAGTTACAAGGAGTAAAATCATTTTAGCTGAAATATGGAGTGCGTAAATAGTCGATTAGAAAAACAGAAAATAAACAAATCGGAAAAGAGAATGATCGATAAGTAATCAATCTAGAGCAGCTTATCACTCCCGCAGGCTGCGAATCAATAATTAATAATCCTGGTTGTCAATAACTATTGTGAGTTCGATCCCCATTGGATACCCAAAGTTGTCATTTTCGCTTGACATAATGCTCATAGCAGAGATGTTAATTCTGTTCTAGTCTCTACAACTCTCATGGGTATCCACGTTTTCTTGACTTTATGTCTTTTGTCACCTTATTTTCTCTCTATCCTGTACTCTCAACCGTTTACAGAAATTCATTCGATATTATCTCTCTAGAAATTCCAATTGTCTCTGTCTGATTCAAAGTACACGTGTCCATTTTGTTTCCATTTTTCCTTAAAGCTTTTTTCATTTCTTACATGATCCGACCAAGAAGTCCTCAGCATTCTTCCGTAGCCTCAAGTTTCATCTTCATCTGTGAGATAATTGTCCAGCATTTACTGGTTTTGTAGGAGGATTGATATGACAAAGTATTTTAAAACTCTTTTCGTTCTTGTTTATTTTTCTAATGAATTTTCCTGTTTCTTAATCATTTGCTTAGCTTTTGGAAAGCACGATTCGTCTGTTTAACAAAATTTTTATATTCCATTCGAGAAATACTTTTTAACTCTTCAACATCTGCAAATTATGCATTGCCATAATATTTCTTGGGATATAGAGTAGAGTGTCTTCCCGTGGCATTGAACACCGAATTTACCTTCTGGTCGAACAATCGGCCTTGTTATTGAAATAATGCCCAAATTGTAGAGGCGAGAAGAGATGGGTCCATGAGTTCCACAAGCGCATTTCTTCCAGGGGAACGCAAATGTCACTACTGAAATTCGAACTTGGCGCACAGATCACATTTTCAAACACAAATTATTTGGTATTATTCAGAAAAATATCACGGTAACCTTACAAAAATTATTAGATAGATAATCGAATGATTTCATCAAACTGAATGAACGATTTTTAAAATATTTTAAAAATATATATATATATATATATATATATATATATATATATATATATATATATATATATATATATAAGCAAATATAAGGATATAGATTCGACAGTATGAAGAAAAATATAAGGAAAAAAAAACAAAAATCCTAATATGCAATTATTCTGTTTTAATGTTAATTTAATCAACGTCGGACGTTTCGGTTTAGTAGACCATCTTCAGGACATATTCATAAAATATAATTAACATTAGACTATATTCAATTCAATCATGGTTAATGAATTTAATGTCTAAAGATGGTCTACTAGACCGAAACGTCTGACGTTGATATTATTTTAATATTAAAACAGAATAGAAACGTTAAAATCGTTTTTATTTCGGATATTTTCTTCAATGAGCAATGGTATATTAAAGATTGATCAGGCATTATTTTATTTACGGACGTGTGTATATATAATGTCATCTTTAAATTTATTCAAGAACCATTGAGATATATTATATATTTTTCAAAACCTGTAACAAGTTAATATCGTGAGAGATATGTTTATTCCACAAATTACAAGGGGATAATATATTTTAATAAACAAAAATTATTTCTATTAAAAAGTAACGACGGTTTTCAATTCAAAAGCGGTAATCCCTTTTTATACATAGCGTGTTTACGTAAATTTAATATTTTAAATTTTGAAAAAATAATTAAAAAAATTTTTCATCTTGAAACTTCAGACTTTGATATAAATTATAAATAAATAATTTAAATATTATAGATCATCAATAATAAAATGAAAAATCTTACTACACAATTTTAAATCAATACTACGGGAATATGTATTTATAACGCTTATCGGTCAGTGAGTATCCTGCACCTGAAATTGCGTATCTGCATGAAACTCCGAGTCACGCTTGAACGTGGGATAATATATATATATATATATATATATATATATATATATATATATATATATATATATATATCCATTAATATTGTACAGGTAATCGATCCGTTATTATATAATCCGGGTGGATCCTAGTAATATTAATTATTAAAACTGATCAGAGAGCTTGATGTATTTATTATAACAGATCATTTATATTTATATATTATATATATATATATATATATATATATATATATATATATATATATAAAATTTTTGAATTTTCATATACTTGTATTCTGATTGGTCGTCATAGGTTACGTAACAAGGTATATTTATATATAATATATTGTACAGGTAATCGGTCCATTGTTATATAATCGGGTGGATCCTAGTAATATTAATTATTAAAACTGATCCACAGAGAGGTTGATGTATTTTTTTATTTTAAGAGGCCATATGTATTTTTTCAGCAAAAAAACAGCAAAAAAAAAAAAATAAAAAAAAAAAAAATTATTTCAATTCAAATATAGTCTATCATTCAAAGCCATTATATACATATATCATCGATATATATATATATATATATATATATATATATATATATATATATATATATATAAAAGTGAACATAAAGTCAACACTTAGAGGCGACAGTCTGTTTCATGCTGATGCAATCTTTGGCCTGATATATATTATAAATAATATATATATATATATATATATATATATATATATATATATATATATATATTAGCGGGTAGACTGAAAAGTTCATAGGCTGAATATGAAGGAGCAATGCTAGATCTGTGAAATTTTCAACTCTTCTTCTTCTTCTAAACTGACATCTGACTGCCCAAAGAAGACTGTTCATCCATCGGTTAAAAACATCATCAGAAGTAGATATGACGTCATCATTATTGTGATGGCGTGGTCCTTTTGGAGATAGTCAATGAACGCTATTGCATTAAAAAAAAAAAACTGAATTTATCAACTTCCCTGCAGATGAAAAGACCTTGATTTTTCTTTGTAGCACGTGAGGAGGGGTGCATTTTGTCTCTTTGTCTCTGGTTCAAAGTGATGAGCCTAATCCTCATCCTGAATTAGCAAATGTTCAAGGACACCAGCTGAATCTGCCTAAAACAATATCAGATTTTCTGTGGTTTTATCAGCCTGCTGCGCTTTTGATCTGGTCTAAAAAAAAAATCACCGTGCAGAAACCTTCGTCATAGCAAGTACATTGTGCAGAATATTCTCAGCTCTTTCATGCATAGTATAGTTGATTTATATTTCAATCATCTGTCGTTCACAATCAATTCCCTCACTGAATTCAGCTGCCCACTCTTGCACTTTTGATAGAGCTGGAGCGTCATTGCTTAACGTAGCAACAATGTCAAGATGAATGTCCTTGGCGATTAAACATTTTTTCTGCAAGTACTTCATACCACCACAATGCCAAATTTGATCTATTTTGAAGAGAAGTCATTTCTCGTCACGATTTAAGTCCTCTTTGAACAGTCAAATGTCAGTTTACGCGGAAAGAAACAAAACAGTTACAAATAAGAAGGAAGAGTTGAAATTGATGCATACAATATTTCACACCTCTAGCATAACTCCAGTCAACGTATGGACCTTTCAGCTCACCCTCATATATATATGGTGGACTCTCCCGTCTAGTTCGACTTATGAGGTTCCGACGACCACCTTCTAATTATCTGCATGCCTATGACGGGCATGACCTTTGAAACAAGCTTAAGATTTTATACAAAGACCACAAACAGTAGAGGAGAATGTATTGTATCCAAGTGCAGCATGAACACTGTTAGATGTCTTATTTTGTTTTCTCGTTTCATGTTGTCGACTGATGGTTATTTCTAGTGCAGTTATATCAATGTTGTACTTCTTTAGTTCCAATGCGACCAGAGCTTTTTTCTTTCTGGTGCTGAGTTGTTGTCCTGGAGAGTTATATACATTCAAGTGCCAAGATGAAGTTGATGTTGTTTATAGAGTTTTTTGCAGTAGCCGGATATGTGTGGAACTAATTAGATGTAGTTGTCAGCAAACCAACACAATGATTTGTTTCAAGTGGTGAAGGCTTGTGCGGACCATCCACACTTTTGGATCTGTCGATAAAAATGTAAAAAGGTGCAAAAAGACTTGCCGAGGAAACCCGAACGACAGTCCTCATTCGTTATTATCGCGAAGTTTAACCTCTGCGGATCACAGTCAATATCAATAAAGTACACCTCTAGCAGACACATGCGGTATAATGAGATATATTAAGCTGTCATGAGTTCTCCTTCCCATCTGAAGTCTTTTTATCGTGAAACGAACACTAAAAGGATTGCTAACCAAAACACAGAGAGACTCCTTTCGCCATCGTCAAAGGCAGCTAGACCGCGCCAGTTCTCAACCTGGTACTTTACAGAACTCCGCAGGAATATATATATATATATATAGTGAACCTTGAAGTCAACATTCTGAAGCGACAGACGCAATGATCATGGGGATAGAAGACGTGGCCCGTGGGGACATAGTCTGTTGGTTATGGA